AGCTTCCACTTTCCACAAGTTCTCTGTAAGACAAACAAATCACTTATTTGTTCAATTTATGTGTTTGGATAAGGAAAGAGTGTTGGAGATGCAGAGGATCACAAGAAAACTGTGGAACGTATTTAAGACTTCCCTTAATAATTAAATGTTATCGTATACTGACCAAAAGTAAAAGAGGGAAACTGAAGTCATATGCTAAGCTGGTTAGTAAAGATTGTCTTTACGGGATCTTGAGTTGGAAACAACTATACAGATAATGTTTTAGATGGGTGTTCATGACTTCAACTTTAATTGTTTGTTCTCTTTACTTCTTCCTTCTGTTGCATCAGTTTTTAGTTTATCGGTTTCTTGGCAATAAATTGTGAGCGGTGGGCTTTAATTTACTTTGTTGAGCTTGGATGACATGAATGACTTTAACTTTCAGCAGCAAAGCCTTCAAGTATTCAGGGAAATGAAGCACGTGAAACTATTGTAGGTTTTGTTTACAGTTGGCCAGATAATCTAAAGACAACAGTTTGTCTTCGAATGCAATGAACATTCTCTTCCTGGAGCCTCCTCCACCTGGAAGGCAGACAAAATTCTCCTGACACTCGCCAGAGTTTGGAGTGTGTTACTAGAACCCCCGGGGTGAATGAAAGTATTCACACCCAGATGAAAACACAAAACACTTCTTATCACACCTGTTTGTTGTGTGGAAAGCTGTTTTCACTCGCTGATGCACAGTTGGGAACTTGAATAGAATAGAATAGAATAGAATAGAATAGAATAGAATAGAATAGAATAGAATAGGGGCTGCATGACTTAATTTTTTTTTAAGTTGACAGTCAAGTATGAAATCTAGTCGGCTTTGACTAATCATGGATGATGTCATACACCTGAAGCGGCTAAAACTGATGATGGGTGACCAAGAGTTTTTTTCTGACGCGCGTCGGGAGGTGACGCTCTGGCACAGAGCGTCGCTTTGTGACTCCCGCGGTAAAACGGAGATTTCACCGAATTGTGACCTTTACCCTCTTGCTATTTAAGCTTCCCCCCACCCCCACCCTAACCTTTACCCAGTATGTCAGTCTAAATTTTCCGTTAAGCGTGTTTGAGAGACGAAACGCGAAACAAAGCTTTGCATGCGCAAGCTGGTTAAGGTTAGGATGGGGGTGAGGGGAAGGTTAAATTGCAAGAGTGGTCACAATTCGGTCAAATGTCCATTTTACCGCAGGCGTCATATGCAGACGCTCTGGCACAGCACATCACCTCCCGACGCGCAGGGGCTCGTCACCTGCTGTCTTTTCCGAGGACTCCATCTTGTCGGTCATTATCACGTGACAGCGACTAGTCTATGAAAGGCATAAAAAGTCACTACAGAGCAGTGAAGTCGAGTAGTCGACTAGTCGATACAACCCCTAGAATAGAATAGAATAGAATAGAATAGAATAGAATAGAAACACCTTATTTTCCCTCAGTGGGGACATTTTGGTATCACAGCAATGATTACATTCACAGCAGGAGCAAAAAGAAAAATGTAGGAGTAAGAAAGGCTAAAGAGTAGAGATGTTTGATATTATCGATCTACCGATATAATCGGCTGATATTGGCCTTAAAATGTAATATCAGTAAATATCGGTATCGGTTCTTACTCCTTAGTGACCCGACTTTTACATACCTCTATGTATTACACATAGGATGAAGTATCAACTACCCGTGTCCACATTCTCAATAACTTCAAACTTTCAAACAGTGCAAATCATTTCCTGGTAGCATTTTCTGACTTGATTTATAGAGCGGTTTGGTAATTTAAGAGCTCCATAAACTTCAGTAGACAAGATTTCAAATAGAAAACCATAAATATGTTTTAAAATCCCACGTGATTCATTATATTTACTGCCCTTTTTTGTTATGTGATGTATGTGTGTATCCCGTACCTCTACACA